GGAATTGTTCGTTGGTTGAAGAAATAACATGAATGCCATCACTAGCTTTTGTTCTTGTTGTTGTTGTTATGTTCCTTTTTACTTTTTTATTGCATATTTTTTTATGAAGGACCCTATCCCAATTTCAGTATCATAATATTAAGGATATGTAAGATGAATATTACATCCGGTTTTTGATATCTGTTGGGATTAAGCATTACTGTTTTTATTACATTTTATTTTGGTATCGTAAAAAAAAAAAAATATTAAAAATTAAGGTAAAAAAATGAAAAGTAAGTTAACCCCCCCCCCACAAAAAAAACCCAAAAAAAACAAAAATACCCCCCTAAAAAAAAAAAACTGGGTTAAGACCAAAGATTCGATGCGTGTATAGCATTAGGAGTGTTTAGTTTTAATTAGATTCAAAATGGTCGCTTTTGATGTTATTGTGACTGTTGTAATATCAGTACGTATTTCAAAATAATTATTTTGAAATTCTCCATCATTTTTATTTTTTTATCTTTTATATTTACTCATTTTTTTTTTTTAAATATTTTACGAAAATCAAACAATTTGAATATCTGGGAAGTGTTTTAACAGAGGACGGAAATTGCGAATCTATTGAAGGACGTTTGAAATCGATGAACTGAGTTCAAAAGCTGACCGGGGCAGATAGTGATCACTTCATACGATTATCAAGGATCATAGACACAACCTTTTGAACGTAAGAATATTCTTTGATAAAGGTTTCATCGTTCATCTTATGTACAAACCCTGCCCAAAAAACCAACAAAATGAGTCGAACCAAAATAAATAAATAAACTTATTCTTGAACCAGACGTGAATAAATGGGAAATTGCTGCCCGTTGAAAGACTACTCATCAAGATCCTTTCGCATTAATCGGCTCTATTTTTGGCCCTATTTCTACTGATGACATAACTATTTTTTCTGTCTTAATAGATAGTCCAAAAGGCTAGATAAAGTAAAGATGGCGGCTGATCTTCAAAATGTTCTCTCACTACTTCTTAACTTAGGCAGGAAACGATTTGTAAATTTTAGAACCGAGAAATCGAAACTTACATTTTAGTCATCTTAGAAAAAATATTTTGCCTTCGATCAGTATGGCTGATGCTAACCACCAGGATGAACTCATTACACCTTCTTGATCTTATGTTTTCCACTGAAATAAAGTGGAAGGAATATATTCAATTAATTAATAGGCCCGCTTCTAGGAAATTTATTTCACTGTTTTGTGCCAGACAATTATTCTCGCCAGAATTCATCTTGCACGTTTATGAATCTACTACTCGTCTGTACATTTAATATTTCTGATACATCTTGCCTGCTGATCTGGCTATATATCTCGAGATTCTCGGCAAATTCATGAGAAGGTTCTGTAAAGTTATCGGTCTTATCCTGGCATCTCAATTTCAGTCACTTTCTCACGGCTGTGACTAATTACAATAAAATTGTTCT